TAGGAACAATGATGAATATGACTATTTTCATTCGCATATAGTACTGGGGACCATTCAGGCTTGTTCGCATGACTATTTTAGCGAAGTGAAAGGTTACTTTAGTTAAGAACAGTGTTGGAAAGAGGCTACACATGACAATTTCAGATGAGAGAAGTGATATTTCAGTTAAGAAATGACAGGGAAACATGATGAAGTAACTATTTTTTAGTTAACTGATGAATACTTTTAGTTAAGCAAAAAGAGAAAACATGATTAACATGCCTTTTCTGATGATTGGTGGATAATTTTTTAGATAAGAAATGACAATGAAACACGACGAACACGGATATTTTCTGTTGACTATGGAATAAGTTTAGTTAAGAAATGATGAAAGTTATTATTTTTTAGTTGAATGACGATGGATAAAATTAGTTATGAACAGTGTTGGAAAGATTCCTTTGACAATTTTTAGCCAAGAGAAAGGTTGTTTTAAGTTAAGAACGGTGTTGAATGAGATTAATCCTGGCTATTTTCGGTTGATTGGATAATAAGTTTAGTTGAGAAATGACGAAAGTGACTATGTTTTAGTTGATTGGCGAAAGATTTTTAGTTAAGGAACGTTACAAGAAAAGTTTGTCTTTGTAAATTTGGAACTGAATAAAGTGTAGATTTGTTTAAGAACAGGGTTGGTAGAACTATTAAGTTGACTACGAGAATTACTGACATAGTTTTGCAAATAAAACTGGGTGACTAAAATTGTTGAGGAAACTGTATTGCCGATGATAATATTTGACAAAGAACTAGTTAGTGAATGGAAGAAACAAATTGGTTTAAAGAAACAAAGAACATAAAAAATTGAGGTTAAGTAAGGGAATGAAGACAGTGAACATACGGTGAACACAGAAAACATGTAAGAAAAAGTTGATGAATAAAGTGAACATGCAGGGAATATGAACTTACAGAGAATATGAAAACATGATAAGAAACAGGGAATACAAAGAATGAACACTGAACATGTGAAGAACAAGCTAAGAACATTGAAAGCATGAATACTGAGTATAAAAGTTATACAGAGAACATATGATGTACATGAAAACATGACAAAGAACATAGTGAACATACGGGGAAAATGGTAGAAAACAGAAAAATTGAGAAAAACAGGTGAAAAAATATGAACTGAGCATGCTGTGAACATTTGTGGAACAGAGAGTGAACACAGAAAACATGGAAAAAATGTGAAGAACACATCTGAATATAGAGAAAATATGCAAATACAGTATGATTATTGAAGGTTTGGATACGTTGGGGATGAGAAGGTAAGGGAGGGAAAGGGTAAGGTGACTACTCTGATAAAGAGTTGGGCTGGAGAGGGGCTTGATCGGATATATTTATGTTCAATGATCTAAGACAGAGGAAATGGAGCTTGGCTAATGTCCTGATTAATTTTACTACGTTAGAAGTAAGGTGATCTTAAATCTCCAGGTAATTTAGTTGGATAATAAAGAACTTGTACAAAATGAGCTAAGCGGGGAACAAGAGTTGAAACTCGGTAACTGAACTGGTTTTTATTTACTATGTCTGAAAATGTAGTTGGGTGTTTAAATCTCCGGGGGATTTGGACTGATAGTAGTGTATTTACAGGAGTGCACTTGGACAGAGGACAAGAGGACAAGAGCTAGAGTTCGGTAACTGCCCCGATCTTATTTACTGTGTCTGAAATACAGAGGGTAAAAATTTTAGGGAAATTGATGGGTTATTTACAAAGATACGAGAGAGAACTAAGGTGGGGGACGAGAGCTGGAGCTCAGTATCTGATTTGATCTTATTTACTACAACTGAAATATGACTGTTTAAAATTTCAGGGGGATTGAACTGCTAGTAGCGAAAATGTGGTCTCTGTCAAATTTGGGTCTTCAATTGGACTCTGATTAATTTCGATCATGAACTGGACGCTGAATATTTCGGCACAAAGTGGACTCTGTTCATTTTTGGGTAAAAACTGGACTCTGTCAAATTTTGCTGACAAAGTGGACTCTGGCAAAATTTAGGTATAAAATGGACTCTGATGAAAAATGGGTTGAAAATGGACTCTGACGAATTTTGTTAGAAAACTGGACTCTGAATATTTTGGGCACAAAGTGAACTCTGATGAATTTTCGGTATAAAACTTGACTCTAATGAAAATTGATCTGAAAATGGACTCTGACGAATTTTGGTCTTTACAGGTGAAACAGCCGTAAATGGTTATAAAACTTAAAGTAATGACTAAGATGCCTGTTTTCCTTAACAAAAACGTCTCAGACAATATTCTCTGAAAATGGTCTACAAAAAATATGAGGTTTTGAAAACCGGTTCAAAAAGTCCGTAGAGTTTACCCTGAAAACCCTGTGCAATAAACAGGAATTTTGAATTTCTCCTATAAGAACTTTAACAAACTTGTATGAACTTATTTTCAGCATAAGAACTCTTAACAAACTTCTAAAGTCTCAGAAATTATTTTTCTCATAAGAATTCCTTACTTCCAAATCTGTGACTGTCCAAATTTACCTGAAAACCCCTGACTCACAAACGGGAATTTCTAAATTTACCTGAAAACCCTGTGCCATATGGAGGAATTTCTCTCAAAAAACAAAATTCCTCTGTACGGTGTCAACCCTACTACTAATGTATAGGGAGCATAACCAAGCAAATATTGCGTCAGCAAGAAATTTGAAAGGATGGATTACGAGAACTTTCAAATCCAGGGATCCCATCACAATGGTTGTACTCTTCAAATCACTTGCGCTGTTCCGTCTTGAGTACTGCTTGATACTTCCATTCAGAGAGAGAGATAGAGAGAGAGAGAGAGAGAGAGAGAGAGAGAGAGAGAGAGAGAGAGAGAGAGAGAGAGAGAGAGAGAGAGAGAGAGAGAGAGAGAGAGAGAGAGTGAGACTGAGAGAGTGAGAGAGAGAGAGAGAGAGAGAGAGAGAGAGAGAGAGAGAGAGAGAGAGAGAGAGTGAGAGAGTGAGAGAGTGATAGAGTGAGAGAGTGAGAGTGTGAGAGTGTGTGAGAGAGAGAGAGAGAGAGAGAGAGAGAGACGAGAGAGAGAGAGTTCCTCTCTTTGCTCGTTCCTTCTTTGCTCCCGTGGAGAGTCCCCCTTCCGCAGTTTTGTACATCCTCGACCCGCATCCCTAAAGCTTTTACCCCTCCTACGGTTCTAAAATGTCTTTTCCTTGAGCACTTTTCTTTTCACTCCCATTCCGTTTCCGTCTTCACCGATGGGTCTAAGTCTACTAACGGTGTTGGCTACTCTGTTGTTTATCCTGATCGCACTTATATGTGTCGCCTACCTCCGGAGACTAGCATCTTTACAGCGGAGCTTTATGCTATTCTCTATGCTCTTAGTCTCCTGCTCTCTCGTTGTCAATCTTCCTTTGTAGTTGTTGTTGACTCTCGTAGTGCCCTCATGGCTCTCGGGTCCTTTAATTCGGTTCATCCAGTAGTTGTCGAGATCCAGCATTGGCTGTTTCTTGTTCACAGTAAATTTAAGTCGGTTGAGTTTTGTTGGGTTCCCAGCCCTATTCATGTCTCTTTAAAGGAGCGTGCGGATGCTGCCGCCAGGGAAGCTGTCCGCTCTTATCCCATCTCTCGTAAAGGTATTTCTTATTCCGACTTTTACCCAGATATCCATTCCTCCATTCTTACCTGTTGGCAGGCTTGTTGGTCGTCTGTTACTCATAACAAACTACGTTCTCTTAAAAGTTGTGTCCTCGTGGCCGTCCTCCTACCACCGTAACCAACGATGGGAAACGGCTCTGGCGAGGTTGTGTATTGGCCATACTCGCTTGACTCATGGTCACTTGATGGAGCGCCGCCCTGCTCCTTATTGTCCTAATTGCATTGTCCCTCTTACGGTCGTGCATATCCTTGTTGAATGTCCTGACTTCCGGGACAAGCGTGTGTCTTGTTTTCCGACCGTCCTCCGCGGTCGCTTGTCTCTCGATAGTCTTCTTGGTGACTCGAATACTTTTGATATCGTTCGCATTATGCGTTCTGTTCTCGTATTAGCATCCTAGGTGATATTTAGCGCCCTCTGATTATCCCGCACATTTGATGGTGCTACATAGCCTTCCCGGTTTGGTGCCTTCTTTTGATAGTTACTTACTTACTTACAAGTCTCAACAATGACCAACAGAAACTAAACATGTTACCTAACCTATCTTAGGCCTAATATTTCCTTATATTTGAGAAAATTCAAATTTCGTGATAGTTCCCCCCTGCTTGGACGATCCTAGCCTGAGGACAGGAAGTATCTTGATAAGGGTTCAGATTCTGACCAAAAATATGGTCACGTTTATATAATTTCATGTTAATAAGTCAGATACTATATATTAGGAGAATGTTTGACAATCTAAGTATATTAACAATATGTTTTCTTGAAGTGATGTACTGAAAAGTTGCTAATTTCTTCAGCACATTCATTCAATACTGAGCCTGATATTTTATTTGATATTATTACAGTATCTGTGTTTTCTTTAGCTAGCGTGTGTGTGAAACTTCCACTTTTTTTTTAATAGGAGTGCAACTCCCTTTCGGTGTCTTCTTTTCCTTTCTTCTGGTATCAACCTCAAAATATTACATCAAAGATCATGTCTCTTAGTTTGGTTTCCACTACTGCAATAACATCAGGCTCTTTTTCTCTAACCGTTTTCCTCCCTCTGCTGTATGTGTAACGCTGTCCACATTGGTAACAGTTGGTTGTGAGTTTGGAAGTAGTTGATGAACTACTAGCTTCTCAAGGACAATGGAGGCTGTGGGGGGGGGGGGGGCTGATAAAGAGAGGTGGGCAGACGGACCAGGTGGGGCTGAGGGACAACTGAGCGGCTAGTCAGAGGTTGAGGGGCAACTGAGGGGCTGAGGGACAACTGAGCGGCTAGTCAGAGGTTGAGGGGCAACTGAGGGGCTGAGGGACAAGTGAGGGGTTGACGGGTAGGAGCGCGCAATAAAGGTAGGCTGTACTAACGTGTTCAGTGTTCGGACAGTCGTGTGAGAACCTGGTGAGCAGCGACGCTGAGAGCACGAGCGGGGCGGCTGCTGCTGGCGTGGGTGATGGAGGCTGTGTGGAGGCCGGCCTCAAGGAGCCAGAGGTCCTCACCGCTCAACAGATCGACGAGTTCCTCCACCGCCATGAGCAAGGTTCGTCACACCTGCACCCTTGCAACTATTATGCCTTCTTCCACCTGCTAGGGACATCCAACTGCTCTTGTTCCTGAACGTGTTTTCAACTTTATGTTTCTGTGATATTTATCCTTGCTTACGGGTGTCAACTAACGGAGATGGTCGGGACAAATCTCAAAATGGTGTTTTGACTTAAATTTTCGTACCAGACATGGAGATTAGTGACTTCTGAATAATGTCCCTTTTAGTAATATAACTTTATTTATCCCTTTCTTTTACTTTTATTTAATTAAGTTTTTTAAAGATATATATATATATATATATATATATATATATATATATATATATATATATATATATATATATATATATATATATATAATATATACATATTATGAAATCTCATTTGCTAGGTATATTCAATACCTAGCAAGTGTCCTGTTTAACTTTTCTTAGCCTGGTACCTTCCATACCATCCCAGCAGTGACCGTCCCTCACCCTCCTAGCCTGGTACCTCCCATACCATCCCAGCAGTGACCACCCTCCTAGCCTGGTACCACCCATACCATCCCAGCAGTGACCGTCCCTCACCCTCCTAGCCTGGTACCACCCATACCATCCCACAGTGACCGTCCCTCACCCTCCTAGCCTGGTACCTCCCATACCATCCCAGCAGTGACTATCCCTCCCACACCAGCGTGCTAAAGAAAGGTTGTGTCCACTCCACAGGGGTGGAGTACGCGCTCCACCGGGCCAAGGTGTGGAGTAAGTACTCCAAGGACGTGATGACCTACATCGAGAAGCGGGCCCAGCTGGACCTGGAGCACGCCAGGAACCTGACCAAGCTGGCCCACTCCGTCAGGCCCGCCCTCAAGGAGGAGGTGAGTCCCCCTCCACTCTCTCTCTCTCTCTCTCTCTCAAGTGTTGTCTATCTTCCTGTACTGTGGTGGCCTATAGTGTAGTACTGTGGTGGCCTATAGTGTAGTACTGTGGTGGACTATAGTGTAGTACTGTGGTGGCCTATAGTGTAGTACTGTGGTGAACTATAGTGTAGTACTGTGGTGGACTATAGTGTAGCACTGTGGTGGACTATAGTGTAGCACTGTGGTGGACTATAGTGTAGTACTGTGGTGGACTATAGTGTAGTACTGTGGTAGACTATAGTGTAGTACTGTGGTGGACTATAGTGTAGTACTGTGGTGGACTATAGTGTAGCACTGTGGTGGACTATAGTGTAGCACTGTGGTGGACTATAGTGTAGTACTGTGGTGGACTATAGTGTAGTACTGTGGTAGACTATAGTGTAGTACTGTGGTGGACTATAGTGTAGTACTGTGGTAGACTATAGTGTAGCACTGTGGTGGACTATAGTGTAGTACTGTGGTGGACTATAGTGTAGTACTGTGGTAGACTATAGTGTAGTACTGTGGTAGACTATAGTGTAGTACTGTGGTAGACTATAGTGTAGTACTGTGGTGGACTATAGTGTAGTACTGTGGTAGACTATAGTGTAGTACTGTGGTAGACTATAGTGTAGTACTGTGGTAGACTATAGTGTAGTACTGTGGTAGACTATAGTGTAGTACTGTGGTAGACTATAGTGTAGTACTGTGATAGACTATAGTGTAGTACTGTGGTAGACTATAGTGTAGTACTGTGGTAGACTATAGTGTAGTACTGTGGTAGACTATAGTGTAGTACTGTGGTAGACTATAGTGTAGTACTGTGGTAGACTATAGTGTAGTACTGTGGTGGACTATAGTGTAGTACTGTGGTAGACTATAGTGTAGCACTGTGGTAGACTATAGTGTAGTACTGTGGTAGACTAGAGTGTAGTACTGTGGTAGACTATAGTGTAGTACTGTGGTAGACTATAGTGTAGTACTGTGGTAGACTATAGTGTAGTACTGTGGTAGACTATAGTGTAGTACTGTGGTAGACTATAGTGTAGTACTGTGGTAGACTATAGTGTAGTACTGTGGTGGCCTATAGTGTAGTACTGTGGTAGACTATAGTGTAGCACTGTGGTAGACTATAGTGTAGCACTGTGGTGGACTATAGTGTAGTACTGTGGTGGACTATAGTGTAGTACTGTGGTGGACTATAGTGTAGTACTGTGGTGGCCTATAGTGTAGTACTGTGGTGGCCTATAGTGTAGTACTGTGGTGGACTATAGTGTAGCACTGTGGTGGACTATAGTGTAGTACTGTGGTAGACTATAGTGTAGTACTGTGGTGGACTATAGTGTAGCACTGTGGTGGACTATAGTGTAGTACTGTGGTAGACTATAGTGTAGTACTGTGTGGTAGACTATAGTGTAGTACTGTGGTAGACTATAGTGTAGCACTGTGGTGGCCTATAGTGTAGCACTGTGGTGGACTATAGTGTAGTACTGTGGTGGCCTATAGTGTAGTACTGTGGTGGACTATAGTGTAGTACTGTGGTAGACTATAGTGTAGCACTGTGGTAGACTATAGTGTAGTACTGTGGTAGACTATAGTGTAGTACTGTGGTAGACTATAGTGTAGTACTGTGGTAGACTATAGTGTAGCACTGTGTGGTGGACTATAGTGTAGTACTGTGGTGGACTATAGTGTAGTACTGTGGTAGACTATAGTGTAGTACTGTGGTAGACTATAGTGTAGTACTGTGGTAGACTATAGTGTAGCACTGTGTGGTGGACTATAGTGTAGTACTGTGGTGGACTATAGTGTAGTACTGTGGTAGACTATAGTGTAGCACTGTGTGGTAGACTATAGTGTAGTACTGTGGTAGACTATAGTGTAGTACTGTGGTAGACTATAGTGTAGCACTGTGTGGTGGACTATAGTGTAGTACTGTGGTGGACTATAGTGTAGTACTGTGGTGGACTATAGTGTAGTACTGTGGTAGACTATAGTGTAGTACTGTGGTAGACTATAGAGTAGTACTGTGGTGGACTATAGTGTAGTACTGTGGTAGACTATAGTGTAGTACTGTGGTAGACTATAGTGTAGTACTGTGGTAGACTATAGTGTAGTACTGTGGTGGACTATAGTGTAGTACTGTGGTAGACTATAGTGTAGTACTGTGGTAGACTATAGAGTAGTACTGTGGTAGACTATAGTGTAGTACTGTGGTAGACTATAGTGTAGTACTGTGGTAGACTATAGTGTAGTACTGTGGTAGACTATAGTGTAGTACTGTGGTAGACTATAGAGTAGTACTGTGGTAGACTATAGTGTAGTACTGTGGTAGACTATAGTGTAGTACTGTGGTAGACTATAGAGTAGTACTGTGGTGGACTATAGTGTAGTACTGTGGTAGACTATAGTGTAGTACTGTGGTGGACTATAGTGTAGTACTGTGGTAGACTATAGTGTAGTACTGTGGTGGACTATAGTGTAGTACTGTGGTGGACTATAGTGTAGTACTGTGGTGGACTATAGTGTAGTACTGTGGTAGACTATAGTGTAGTACTGTGGTAGACTATAGTGTAGTACTGTGGTGGACTATAGTGTAGTACTGTGGTAGACTATAGTGTAGTACTGTGGTAGACTATAGTGTAGTACTGTGGTGGACTATAGTGTAGTACTGTGGTGGACTATAGTGTAGTACTGTGGTGGACTATAGTGTAGCACTGTGGTAGACTATAGTGTAGTACTGTGGTGGACTATAGTGTAGTACTGTGGTGGACTATAGTGTAGTACTGTGGTAGACTATAGTGTAGTACTGTGGTGGACTATAGTGTAGTACTGTGGTAGACTATAGTGTAGCACTGTGGTGGACTATAGTGTAGTACTGTGGTGGACTATAGTGTAGCACTGTGGTGGACTATAGTGTGGTGGACTATAGTGTAGTACTGTGGTGGACTATAGTGTAGTACTGTGGTGGACTATAGTGTAGCACTGTGTGGTGGACTATAGTGTAGTACTGTGGTGGACTATAGTGTAGTACTGTGGTGGACTATAGTGTAGTACTGTGGTGGACTATAGTGTAGTACTGTGGTAGACTATAGTGTAGCACTGTGTGGTGGACTATAGTGTAGCACTGTGGTGGACTATAGTGTAGTACTGTGGTAGACTATAGTGTAGTACTGTGTGGTAGACTATAGTGTAGTACTGTGCGACTGTTGTTTCCTTCATTACGCTACTGAAGTTCTCATATACTTCGTAGTGTGTGTGTGTGTACTCACCTAGTTGTGCTTGCAGGGGTTGAGCTCTGGCTCTTTGGTCCCGCCTCTCAACCGTCAATCAACTGGTGTACAGATTCCTGAGCCTATTGGGCTCTATCATATCTACACTTGAAACTGTGTATGGAGTTAGCCTCCACTACATCACTTCCTAATGCATTCCACCTGTTAACTACTCTGACACTGAAAAAGTTCTTTCTAACGTCTCATTGGGTCATGTTGGTACTCAGTTTCCACCTGTGTCCCCTTGTTCGCGTCCCACCCGTGTTAAATAATCTATCCTTGTCTACCTTGTCAATTCCCCTGAGAATTTTGTAGGTTGTGATCATGTCTCCCTTTACTCTGCTGTCTTCCAGTGTCGTGAGTTGAATTTCCCGCAGCCTTTCCTCGTAACTCATGCCTCTTAGTTCTGGGACTAGCCTAGTGGCATTCTTCTGAACTTTTTCCAGCTTCGTCTTGTGCTTGACAAGGTACGGGCTCCATGCTGGGGCCGCATACTCCAGGATTGGTCTTACATATGTGGTGTACAAGGTTCTTAATAATTCCTTACACAGGTTCCTGAACGCTGTTCTGATGTTAGCCAGCCTCGCATATGCCGCAGTCGTAATTCTTTTTATGTGGGCTTCAGGAGACAGGTTTGGTGTGATATCAACTCCTAGATCTTTCTTTCTATCCGTTTCATGAAGTAATTCATCTCCTATTCTGTATCCTGTGTCTGGCTTCCTGTTTCCAAGGCTTAGTTTCATTACTTTGCATTTACTCGGGTTGAACTTTAGCAGCCATTTGTTTGACCTTGCATTCAGTCTGTCTAGGTCATCTTGTAGCCTCCTACTATCATCCTCTGTTTTAATCCTCCTCGTAATTTTTGCATCATCAGCAAACATTGAGAGGAACGATACTATACCCTCTGGGAGATCGTTTACATATATCAGAAACAGAATAGGTCCAAGGACTGCCCCCTGCGAGACTCCACTGGTGACGTCTAGTGGAGACGCCAATCTGAGGCCTCGCCCCTCACAGTGACTCGTTGTCTTCTGTTGCTTAGGTACTCCCTTATCCACCAGAGTACCTTCCCTTTCACTCCAGCCTGCATCTCCAGCTTTTTCTCTAGCCTCTTGTGTGGTACTGTGTCAAAAGCTTTCTGGCAATCCAAAAATATGATGTCTGCCCACCCCTCTCTTTCTTGCTTGATTATTGTTGCCTGTGTGCAACTGGTGGTGTGTGTGTGTGTGTGTGTGTGTGTGTGTGTGTGTGTGTGTGTGTGTGTGTGTGTGTGTGTGTGTGTGTGTGTGTGTGTGTGTGTGTGTGTGTGTGTGTGTGTGTGTGCGCGCGCGTGCGTGCGTGCGTGCGTGCGTGTGTGTGTGTGTGTGTGTGTGTGTGTGTGTGTGTGTGTGTGTGTGTGTGTGAGGCCATGTGAATCTGGCAGCCGGGAGGGAGACATGGGAATGACAGGTGAACACTATACATGTGCTTCTGTTTTCCATGAATATTGGACGTGTACTGTGGGGCTTCTGTGTAGATTGGTGGACGGGTCGTGATGGTTGTGGTGGTGGGACGGGCCCGGGAGGGTGGTGGTGGGACGGGCCCGGGACGGTGGTGGTGGTGGTGGTGGGACGGGCCCGGGAGGGTGGTGGTGGTGGTGGGACGGGCCCGGGAGGGTGGTGGTGGTGGTGGTGGGACGGGCCCGGGAGGGTGGTGGTGGTAAGACGG